ATGGTCATACTGGCCAGTCATCGGCTTCTAAGCCTAGTAAACGATCAAACATTTAAAAAAAAAACAGCTTGTGGACGACTTTTCAACATTTGACCTTGATTTGATCTTTTCAAGGACACTCGTACAACTTATGTGTAGACTTATATTCTGGACCTAAAATTTTCCGCTCTTTACGAATCCGGCATCAAAAATAGGGGTTCCTATTTAGAAAAATAACTTTGACCTTCAAATGACCTTGAAAATTTACCCCAAGGTCAAAGTTGTTATTACAGTTACGTGAGCCCCTTTGTCCTGAATAACTTTTGTCTAAACATTTTTTTTTAATTCGGCTTAACAACAGAGATATTCGGGTGCGTCGATTAAAATGAGCCACCTAGTATATATATACAACACACACACAATAGGACAAATTTTATTTGCAGAAAGTTAATGAAAAATATACTGGAATACTTAATATAGAAGTGTCTTCTTTGGATTTTGAATACATGCAGAAGTTTGTCGATGGTCAAGGGTCTATCAGAGAAATTGATAGAATTCTCAAAAATACGATAAAACGAAGTGAAACATCAATATGCAATTATATGATCGAGGCATCTCATTGTTTCAATTCTTTTTTGGATAAAACATTAATGTTATATATATATTGTAAATCATGGATAATAGATCATGTAAGAATAATTTAGTAGATATTTATATATAATATATTAAAAAGATACATTTTTATAATATATTTTGAATTATATAATCTAGTAATTTGAATGTATGATTAATATCCGAAATTGTTTCAGTGGGACGTGATTATAATCGCCTTTACAGTTCTATTTAGTTTTATAATTTTGTGGAGGAAAAGATGGTCTCGAAGTTTATTCATCTTTCTCACAATTGATGTTATATTTATAATTAGTTTTTTTATAACTTGGTGGCGACTTATAGAGGTAATTACATGTTATTTTATCATAAAAATATGCTTGAAGATATATTATATACATTTGTATATTAATTTAAAATCTTTATAGTGTAATGAAATGTTTTGAAGATTTGTACTTGTATTTTGAATAAAATGATGACTGTAGATGTTTTTTTATTTTAAAAGTTGTTTTATTTTGTAGGAAGCTGAAATTAAATTAACGGCAGCACAAGCACAATTCGCAGAAATGCCAATTACTTGTCAGCCGCATAAAATGGGTCTCTGGGACAAGGCAATTGCATGGCTTTTTTGTAAGTACTATTTATAATGTGAGATATATTTAAGATGCATATGTGTATTACTTATAAGTGAAAATCTATTTACAGCTACAAACGATTGTGAAAAATACTATGAAACGATTATGGCGAATCCTAAACTGCAAGTGACACCAGCATTTGCATTGACTTATTTTCTTAGTATGACTATTTTCCAACCTTTATCGTGCTTTGGACTTATTATATCTGAATTTATAGATAATGCTACCGGTAAGTAATTCGCTTATTATTGTTAATAATGTACAAAGGTACAAATATGTATTGTTGACTTAATAACTATATTATGCATTAATTTTGATCTAAGACTGCAATGATTAAATCAAATAAATGTTTAATGCCAATGCAAGCCAACACAAGTTAATCATGTATAGATTCATATATTTTAAAAAACTAATTACAGACATTTCAAACCCTTTTGGTTGGGATCCTCTTTAGTGTTTGATTAAACGTGAAGTCAATTAAAATTAATATACAGATTTTTACAGTTTGAAATTGTTATATTATAATTTGCTCTTCTTTTCGTCTATCATATTTAATAGGATACTCACAAAACATTTAAGGAGATGCTGAAGTCGCCTGTATTGTTGATAAAACTAACTTTTTGATGTTTTCATTTCTGTTTAATTTCGTATTAATTGCACAGAATAGAAATTCCTTCTCCACGATTAAAATATTGATGCTAATATACCTGCCCTTGATGTATTTTGTGTCCAAAACTAGAAAAAGTATGAAATTACAGATTTTTTATCCAGATTTATTTTTTTATTACAGATTTATTTTCTGCGTTGATCACAATATTGAGGTTAAATGGATAAAAAAAATCTGTAATTTCATACTTTTTCTAGTTTTGGATACAAAATATATCAAGAGCAGGTATATTAGTATGAATATTTTAATTGTGGAGAAGGAATTTTTATTTTGCGAAATTACTACGAAAAAATTAGACAGGAACGAAAACGTCAAGAACATTTAATTTTATCGGTAATACAAGTGGCTTCAGCATGTCCTTGACATTAAGGTGATGCTGCACCCACCTGTATTCATGTCAATGTATCTGCTCATGATTTATATTGTGTCCAAAGCTGGAAAAAGTATGAAAAATCATAGATTTCTTTATCCATTTAACCTCAGTATGGCGACTAATGCTGAAGATAAAAATGGATAAAGAAATCTGTAATTTCATATTTTTAAGGGTGCAGCCACAATAGAAGGAATTAGGAATAAGGAATAAGAAATTTTAGCCTATCAGAAAGTATGTATATCAATGTATCCGATTTCTGATAGGTTAAGATTTCTTATTCCTAATTCCTCATTCCTTTTATTGTGGCTGCACTTTAAGCGAGTAGTAAAAGTAGAGAGCTTGTGGTGAACAGAGTCAGCAAAAAACCCTTTTATATTAATAAAATAAATACCACAAAACGAAAATAAAACAAGGAAATATCAATCTTTTTTAAATAAATCGTAATATAACAGATCCAATATTTCTGTTTCCACTTGCAAATTCAGTCAGTTTTTTTCATTTTTTTTATAAAAATTAATTCTGATATTAATCGTTTATTGTGTACGTCTTTTCTCTGTCTAATATTTTTGCATTATTATAATTGAAATTATATTTATGTTTCATTCTGTGTTCTGTGATTACAGAGTGTTGTCTTGTATTTCTGTTAATGTGACTACGGTGTTCATTTAGTTTATTTTTTAAGTTTCGTCTGTTTTTTGAGTATCCTGTTAAATACGACACACAGACAAAATTTAGAGTAAATTATAATATAACGATTTGAAACTGTAAGAATCTGGTATACACACACATTTATTTTAATGACCTTACATTTAATCATACACTGAAGAGGATTAAAAAAAAAGGGTTCGAAATATCTGTAATCGATTTGTTTTTTTAAATATATGACTCTACACACACATTTAACTTATGTTGGCTTGCATCGGCTTTTGACATTTATTTGATATATTATGCATTGTTTCATAGGTAAATTAAACTTTATCTGTAAGTTTCCTATCACAATTGCCCTTTTCTTGAGCATCTGCGTGGGTATAATATTGATACCATTATCTTGGATTGGCGGATCTATTAATTTTGGTCTTGGACCATTCTTCAAATTTGGATTAAAAGGTAGACAAAGTTACAACGATCAAGAAGAACGCATTGAACGGATTCGTGAGGTATTAACTACATTTTTATACATTTACGAGATATTAGCTATATTTTTGTACATATTTTTTTATGTTCTAATTATCAATTTTTCTTGTTAAAAGATTAGTAAAACATTACAAAGGTATTATTAAGGGGATCGTAAAATCGTCTGTATTACCGACTAAATCATATAATTTTTGTATCGTAAATACTTTTTTGTCATTCACAGATTCAAAAATCCTTGTACAGGATTAAAGTATACGCATTAAAAGCCAATGACAAACTATCGAAATTTATTGCGTATAAAATTATATATTCCTGCAGAAATGCATGAATTATTTGTCCGTTATGTTTACACTGCTCTTTATGGCTGCGGTCCACTTGCTTCTTCCAAATACTCTCAATGCTACGCTCCAAGCGCTATGCTTGGGTTGGTCCATTTCCGAAAGCTACAATTGCTACGTGAACGCTCCAGCCAACCCACCTCCCGAGTTGCGGCAGTTGGAGCGAAAACGATGATGACGTATTGATGACGTATAGTTTCTAGGAGCGTTTCGAAGCGTCAAATGAACCAGTCATATCAGTGTTACAAATGCTCTGTAGCGTTTGAAGCGCAGCCTATATCTACATAAATTTATAATTTCTAATGTGTTATATGTTATACATTATGACTGCGGTCCACTTAGCGCTTCGGAATGCTTCCAGCAACTCTGATACGTCATCGTTTGCTCCCGCTGCCTCACCTCGGGAGGTGGGTTGGCTGGAGCATTTACATAGCGATTGTAGCATTTGGAACAATAATGGACCAATCCAAGCATAGCATTTGGAACGTAGCATTGAAAGTATTTGGAAAAAGCAAGTGGACCTATTGTGGATATATTGCGCAAATAAGTATATTCATAGTATAATGACGATAAACGTATATTAAAATATGTCAAAGATAACCCAGACAGCACAGAATATTTATAATAAAAATATTCATAAATATTTATTAATGTTTTGAAATATTATATAAATATTATATAATTTTGTGTGAAACATAATTTCCATATGATTTTTTTTTTATTATTATTAAATTCTTTAATCTTAAAAAAGATTTAATCTTATTATAAATCTCTAAATTATCTTTCATCTTATCAAATTATTTGACAGAGAGAAAAAGAGAGAGAGAAACAATCAAAATTTATTATTAACGAAAAGAATAACTTTTTAAAAAGATCATAAGTTTAATTTTAATAAATGATCCATTCCTTTATTTTTTACATTTCTTTATATATGTTTATCTTCGTCATATGTATACCTATTTGTGCAATATATATTTGTAACATATATTAGAAATTATAAATTTATATTGATATAAAGAGCAATGTAAACATGACGGACAAATAATTCATGCATTTCTGTAGGAATATATAATTTTATACATAACTCCCATAAATACAACGTACATAAGTAATAAAAAAATATAAAACTGAAAACTACGTTTTGTCTTTTTTGTGATTTTTTCGAAAACAAAGCGAAAACGAGCATATTTCTACAAGACTTTTTTTCTTAATTTATCGTTCATCTACACGCTTCCGAAGTTTAGACATTTAAATTCGGGACACTTTGTATAATTATATTTTATATCTTGATTCTTATATGCCCTTGTGATAATCTTTGTAATGTTTTATTAAATTTAAGAATCTTCTTTGTTCTTGGTATTTAAATTTTAAAGATTAACTTTTAAATTAGTTGTAATGTTTAGAAAAATAAAAAAAATTAAAATACAAAGCTTAACAAATAAAAAATAGAATATACTAACTATAATGGTCGAAATTAGATCTTAATGCTTTTTAAATAATTCACATTGAATTATTATTTAAAAAGGATTAAGATCCAGGTTTAACCGTTTTATACATGTGTGCGTGCGTGCGTGTTTACTTATACATATATATATATATATAGAGAGAGAGAGGGGGGGAAAGGAGAGGGAGAGGGGGGAGGGAGGAGAGAGGGGGGAGACACACACGGCTAATATATCTTATTTTTTATTTGTTGAATTTTAAATGTACGGTCCAATAAGATTTTTATGTTGGTAAAATACAAAATTTTTATAATGTTATAAATACATTCAAATTCATGCATATATTTTTTTATTGTAGGCTGTTTTATCAAGGAAGAAGTTGAAGGATTCAAAAAAAATGAAACTAATTGTGTTGAAACAAGATAATGGTAATACTTAAAAAAGTAGTAAATGTTAGTAATTTGTAAGTCCTAGATACTAAAATTATTATTGTACAGATCTTGCTGGAGGTGATGCCAACGTGCAGCATGTAATAGAAAAATATACAAAATATCAATGTGAAAATGATAATGCAAATAAAGATGTGAAATGTGTGAAGAAAGAAGAAATAGATCGCTAATAATATTTTCGCACTATTGTCTATATAGTACTTTTCTTTTAATTTTACGTTGCTGATAATTATTAACTTTTTTATTAATTTATAAGCATATTATATTTAAAATGATAATTTTATTTAACTTGAAAGTTTTATTTAACTTGTAATAAAAAAGTATTGATGGTCATAAAAGTTGATCTTAAAATAAGTACGTTTAATTTATGATAATATAGTATTTATAATCATATTATATTTAAAATGATAATTGTATTTAACTTGAAAGTTTTGTTTAACTTGTAATGAGAAAATATTGATGTCATCAAAGTTGATCTTAAAATAAATACGTTTAATTTATAATAATTTAGTATCTAAAAAACTAATCTATTCTAATATATATACATATATTGGGACCTTGAATAAGTTCTCGCCGTTTTTTTCGTGAAAAGTAATGCGTTATTTAAAAAAATAATTTTAAACGTTTAGAAACTGTTGTAATCAACTTCTAATCATTCTGCAAGTTCAGCTAGCGTCTGACATGAGTCTTCATGCAGTAATGCCTCCGATTCTGCTTTATCTTTAACATCAAAATCATTATTTTTGAAGCAGCTAAACCAATCTTTACATGTTGTTTCCGATAGAGCATGGTCACCGTAAGTCTCAACAAGAATTCTGTGTGCTTCAGCTGCAGATTTTCTTTGAATAAAGTAGTGCAATAAAATTCCCCGCAAATACTCTTTTGTTGGCACAAAGCTCGACATGTTTAACACTATGAAATAAAAAGTTGTTTACACTTCGATACATGCACGTACCACATGCACGCAGTTCTGTTAACACCATATGTTGGAAAACTGCGAGAACTTATTTAAGATCCTAATATATTATGTAGGAATTATACTATCTATTTTAATGCATGGATGTGTGCTGTGAATTATTGCAAGGACTATACTTGTAGTGATAAATTTTGTACAAAATAATATTTATCGGTTAGTTATTATATATGCAGCTATTATTTTGTTATAGTTTGTTCGAAGTCTTATTAAATTATATTTGACTACTAAACATGACGCTTTATTATATACAATGCCTATTGTATATTCAATTGCCGATAGTTAATAAATTGCAAATGTTGTTCGCGTAAATTGTACGGAGATGAATAAATGTCAAATGCGGCGGAAATGAAAACATTCTGTTGTTCGATTGGTAGTCCGGCTCTTTGTGTCAATTCAGCTTAATAATCGGTGCGCAAGCAAGGATTTGTCAAATTTGTTAAATATAACGTTTGTTCCTCACGTAATCTTATCCATTCTCTGTGTACTCGCGAACAATCGATTTAACTATATAATTGAACGAAAATGCCTTATTGAAAATATTGCGTGTTTAGAAAGTAAAAACATTGCAAAAATTGAACAAGAAATTATAAATTTTTTTAATTTTAATCTATTTTTTTATTCAAACAATATTCAATACTAAAGATCGTTAATGTAAGAACATAATTAATACAAACACGAAGCCTATAACAGTCTAGCTTGGATCTTTAATTGCTTACACATATGAAATACTAGAATCTTTTTACGACCGTACAATTGATAAACAATAATAAACAAGATGAAGAAAGCCAATAACGGTCAAAGCTGGATCACAGTGCTCTTATTATAATTGTGTGAATTTTATATACTGCGTATGTAGTCCTCCCAAAAATCGCGACGCTGATAGTTTTTCAGCATTGATGCATACATATTTACTACCGCAGTAATATCACTTATTGTTAGTTAAATTGACAAGCAATCTAACAATTTTTGATGCTTATATAGCATCTTATTGGATCTTGATAATATGTTGAAGACATATATTAAAATTTAACGATGTAAATGTTAAAGTAATGATAAATCTAAATCTGTGAAAAATAAGATTGCGAAGAATATCACGAGTTGGCGTTTCGTTCCGGTTTCCACTACTGGACTCATCAGTAAGGCGTTGTGTAATGGAAACCTACCTTAGTACGCCTGTGTAAGTTATAATTCGATTTTAATTGCTAACATATTATATAAACTATCGCGGTACTATCACGAATTAAAACAAATTAATAATTAACTAATATATATACGTAGACCACCCAAACTGCGCACTGAAGAATCATCGGTCTTGAAACGCACAATTCTAATAATCTGAAAATAATTCTAAATCTGGAAATAATTCTTATTGCGAAAAATATTATCTCGGCCAGGAGTCGAATCCGGACACCTTGCTTTACGCGCAAGTGTCCTAGCCAATTAGACTACCGAGGCCTTTTTTATTTAAACCTGTTTTTTAATTTTATTTTAAAATAATGCAATCAGAATCCGTTTATTGTATCATGTCACGAAAGATATAGGCTATAAAACTTACCGTTATAAAAACGCGCGAAAGCGTATTACTTTTCATCGACATTATAGCTATTCTCATTTCATTTGTCTTTTATGCGGGGCGTAACTAAATATCATTTGCTGTGCGTATAAAAAAGCGTATAATGGACATGTACTATTAAAAGATTTTAATATATAAAGTGCGGTGTGTTCTTGAGTAAAAAAAATATTTTTTCGATGTTTGTAGCAATTTATTTTCTCCAGAGTTGTACGATGAAATCGTCGTCAGTGAATTAAAATAATATTAGACCGTAGCAAATTTGACGATGGATTGAACGGCGTTTATTTTGGGGCTCGTTTAATTACCGTCGAATAATCCGCAAAGAATACCCTAATTAGCGTTGAAGGTCGTGTACACGAGCAAGTTCTTTTACGCTAGTGAAAAAAGCAGCCGAAGAACTTTGATAGGGAGAGCAACGTCCTCTGTTTTTTTTTCCTACATCCAGGTAATTTTTCACGATATCGACCCTCCTTTCTATTGAAGTAAACTTTTTGCGATTTAAATTTGGCAGCATTAAAAGGTTTTGCGTTATTCCAAATCTGTACATTCTATAGTCACCGGATTTCAATTCGTTAATGAGTCGTGAGTGAAGTATCGCATTTCCACTGAAAGTGTACATTTACCGAAAGTGGGAATGCATTTCGGGCTTTTCATTACGCAAGATTTATTACGTAATGTCACGTCTCTTCCATTCATTTTCTCTACATACATCTATGCTAGACAAAATTGAATATACATGTAGCAAAGTAAATTAATGTATGCATTTATAAATTATAGAACATAATTAAACAGGGTACAAATACATTATAGGTATTATATGAGAATATAATTAAAGCAAGTGTTAAGAAAATGTTATAGCCCCAGAAACTTTGTTTTTTTTTTATCGGACAAATATATACACATCATATGTACTGAAAAAAGGAATATATTGCAAAAAACTATTTCTCATAAACACAAAATGGATTTCAAACTAATGCAAGATTATTCTGTCTGTACTTTTTCAAGAAAGTAATAAGTATATACGAAAAAGCATTATCTCTCTTGTTGCGATCAGATTTTCCTGATTGGGATTGTAATACGTTTTTTAATTAAGTTTTTTTATTTGTGAAATTAACTATATATTAGGTTGTACGAAAAGTTTGTTTCAACTTTTTAGCTCAAAATTGTATAGATATACAACATAAAAAGATGAACAAAATTTAAATTTAAAAAAAGTGTTTTAAAGTTTGAAATTTGTACTTTCAAAAGATTACTATATTTTTTGACTTTCTGTGAGTTTGGTAATTTTTACATATAAAAAGCTACGAGCTCTGAAAAAAATGAAAATTTTTTTTTCACTCTTTGTGGAGTCTTTCATGTGATCAAAACATTTGCAGAAATTGTCGACTACCTATCGTGAAAGCTTGAAGCTTTTCCTACGAAATCGTTTTTTTATCAATGTTCTTGCTACGATTTTTTGTTCCTTGTGAGTTATTTGTGAGTTAAGTAAAGGAACACACACATTTTAATTTTAATTCATAATTCCATTAAAAATTATCATACCGCAATTAAGGAAACAGATTTTTAAAGTTGAAACTTTGCTTTATCGCGAATGATATAATTGATAATTTTTTAAATGTTCGATATATTATTTTGAGCTACAAAATTTGAAACGAATTTTTCGAATAACCTAATATATACATATATGCATACAATAAATTAAAACTTTAAATTTGAATCAATATAACTAACACTAAACTAAAATTAATTTGTATTGTTTAAAAAAACTATGAATAATATAAATATATATCAAAAAATGGATATTCAATATTGTAATGGTGATTATATGTATATATCATAAAATTTTAAATTATTTTAATTATAATTAATTATAAGCATAACAGTACTATATATATATATATATATATTGCGAAATTTACAATAGTTCTATTTTTCATTTAGTTCTCTTCTAATAAAATAAAAATTTAAAATTAATTTTTATTATTCAATCAAGGTTAGAAATGTTATATATGTAGATGAAGAACGCACTTATTTTAAATATTTAATACTGCTGAAGTATCGGCAACTATTTTATTTCTACAACAAATTTCTATATTTTAAGCGTAATTCTATTTAAAAATATGATTGTTAATTAATTTAACAAACATGATGCAAACATAAAATTAATTTGTATTAATTATAAATATATTAGATTGATTTAAAGATTTTAATGAAAATTAGCTCATTGCCCTTATTTCATTATATTAGTAGCTGAATACTTATTGAGCCTTATCATAAATATTTTAATTTGTATTATCTATGAAAAATTCAAATTTAATTAGAAAAAAAAAACGTTTTAAATGTTCAATGTTACAGATATTTTCACAAAAGTATTAGTGATTATTTCATTATATTAAAATGGATGTTCAGAATTGTGGCTATTACTTCGGGTTTCTGATTGAGCTTCTACATACATTTATGAGGTATAATATTACATGCATATTAGTGATATTATTATTATATATAATATTATAAACATCGATCTTGCGATTTCGCATATTTGCTGGCGTTGCTTTTCAGTTCCGGTCTCGGTACAGGTTTATGCATCGTTCGTTCTATCAAATATTTGTTCTCGCGTTGCT